GGTAGAGTCCTCCTCCCTGGAGGTATTTAAAAGAAGGCTAGATGAGGTGCTTAGGGCCAGGGTTTAGTGGTGGGATGTCAGGGTTTGGTTAAAGGTTGGACTCGATGATCTCAAAGGTCTTTTCCAACCAAAGTGATTCTATGATTCTATGATTCTAAGGTTAGCCATCAAAGAGCCACCATGAACTTCCAAAGAGCTCAAAGGCACTTGTGCTGAAGAAGAACCAAAGCCCTGCGTGTTTTAATGTGTCGCCCCACCGAGTACCCTGGTCCCATCCGCACTTGGGGAGCAGCTAATGGTGCATGAGTTTTCCTAGAAGCAGCCAGAACCGCAGGTTAATCACGAGGGTGTATTTTACTTTCTTACATCGTGGCTAATTTCCCATCTGTCCTAAGGCACTGTTGACTGTACACATGTGCCCATTCAAGCGCCTGCTCCTAATGAGGGGAATGGACAAACAAGAGTCCCACCGCTGCCCGGGTGCAGAGGTGCCAAGGCAGGAAGAGGGGCAGATGGCTGAATTACTAAGTGCCCAGGGCCCCTGCCACCATTTGCTCATTTTTGAGTAATCTCAGCTTGCATCAATGCTGCATTCATCTTTGGCTTCCAAACAGCCTTTCATCTCTGCGTGATTTGTAAGCAGAGAGGCGAGAAGCTCAGGTGTGTTAGAAACCACTAAATCTCCAGCTGTGTGTGCGCAGGGTGGTGACAAGGAGGGGGTGACAGCAGGCTCAACCCCTGGTCACACCGCAAACTCACACCAACCCTACTTGATAATGAAGAGTTGAACCCAGGGTATCCATTGAGCTGTGCAAACTGCTTCAATGGGAGAGTTCACCTGTGCTAAGACACCGCACATCTTAAAAAACCCTCCTTAAGAGACATCCAGCTGCTGCCTTGGTGCTCACCCCAATGAAAGGGGAGGGAGGAGAGGAAAGGAAAGAATGAAGAATAGGGCCTGCAGCGATAGCACAAGGGATGATGGTTTTAAACTAAAAGAGAGGAGATTCACACCTAGATATAAGGAAGACATTTTTTAGGATGAGTGTGGTGAGACACTGGCCCAGGTTGCCCAGAGAGGTGGTAGATGCCCCATGCCTGGGAACATTCCAGGTCATCTCCAGCCTGATCCAATTGGAAATGTCCCTGCTCATGGCAGGGGGGTTGGACTGGATGAGCTTTAAAGGCCCCTTCCAACCCAAACCATTGTGTGATTCAATCTCTGATAAGAAGTGAGGGAAGAGAAGAGGGCCATTATGTCCCCTTACAAAGACACCCACCAACCAGCCATCTTTCCAGCTCTATTTCAGACTGATCAAGCTTGGTCTTGATGCTTTCCATTGAGATCACCTTGTGATTTATTTTATTTGCTGTAGTGCCAACCTGTTATCAAATACTGCATTTTTCATTAGCTCTGCGTTAACACATTATTTTCTGGGCTTTTTTTTGTTTTCTTGTTTGTTTTTTAGGGCTAATTCTGGCCACAGACAAAGCCCAATGCAACCCCCAGCTTTTATGGTGCCCCTGGATAGCATATCTGTCACTGATAAAGGATTCCTCACCTCCCTAGTGGCCTCAATGCCGCTAAAGCCTCAAGTCCTAGCAACCATTGTTCTGAATCGGGCCTTTTAAACCACACACATGTTTTAGAGCCTGATCATGATCTATGTATCTGACTCTATGTATCCTATGTATCCGGCTGACAGGAACCTCAAGAAGTTCAAAAAGGAGAAGTACAAAGTCCTGCACCCAGGGAGGACCAACCCTACACACCAATACATGCTGGGAGCCACCCAGCTTGGCAGAAAAAGACCTGGGGGTCCTGGTGGACACCAAGTCGAATATGAGCCAGCAATGGGTCCTCACAGCAAAGGTGGCAAATGGTGTCCAGGGCTGCATTAGATCTATTGCCAAGCAGGTGGATGGAGCTGATCACTTCCCTCTACTCAGCACTGGGATGGCCACACCTGGAGTACAGCATCCAGTTTGGGGTGCCTCAATACAAGAGACACAGATATACTGGAGAGAGTCCAGCAAAGGGCCACGAAGGTGATAAAGGGACTGGAGCCCCTCTGCTCTGAGGCCAGGCTGGGAGAGTTGGGGGTGTTCAGCCTGGAGAAGAGAAGGCTGCGGGCAGAGCTGAGTGCGGCCAGTCAGGGCTTAAAGGGGGCCCAGAGGAAAGGGGGGGACAAGCTTTTTAGTAGGGCCAGCTGGGACAGGACAAGGGGGGATGGTTTGAAACTGAAGCAGGGGAGGTTTAGACTGGATGTAAGGAAGAAATTCTTTCCAGTGAGGGTGGTGAAACCCTGGCAGGGGTTGCCCAGAGAGGTGGTGGAGGCCCCATCCCTGGGAACATTCCAGGCCAGGTTGGACGGGGCTGTGAGCAACCTGATGTGGTTAAAGGTGTCCCAGCTCCCTGCAGGGGGGTTGGACTGGATGGCCTCTAGGGGTCCCTTCCCACCCAAAACATTCCATGATTCTATGGTTCTATGATTCTATGATTCTATGAAAGGAGGGTGCAAAGAGGACAGACCCAGGCTCTTTTCAGTGGTGCCCAGTGCCAAAGACCAGAGGCCATGGGCACAAACTGAAACACAGGAAGTTCCTTCTGAACATCAGGGAACACTTCTTCCCTGTGAAGGTGACTGAACACTGGCACAGGTTGTCCAGAGAGGTTGTGGAGTCTCCATCCTTGGAGATATTAAAAAAACCATCTAGGCACAGTCCTGGGCAACCAGCTCTGGGTTACCCTGCTCGAACACAAGTTGTTGGACCAGATGACCTTCCAACCTCAACCAGTCTGTGGTTCTGTGATTATTGAATCCCTGCTCTAAGCCATGGGCAGCTAAGAGGGTAGGTGTCTGGTCACTGAAAAGTTGGTGGATCTGGTTAATTTTTCTGCAAGAGCTGTCCCCTGCAGTAGCACTGACCACATCCTAGTGACTTAGTTGAATTATTTGCCTCTTTCAGCTTTGCAAATTGGGCTCCTTCCAGGGCATAAGCAAGGGAGGGGAGAGAAGGTCTCCTTTTTGTCACAGTGTCTGCTCACACTTGGATGATTTGGCCAGATCTTACAGAGAAACCAAAGAGCTTGGACAAGATTGAGAAGGAAATCTGCAGCAGAGACTCGGGCAAAGTCTCTTACGCTGTAGGTCAGGCCTCTGGACTCTAAACCACCCTTCTCCTTCTGGAAACTCTTTAACACAGAAACTCAATCCTCCTATCTGGACTGTTCCCACTGTTTATTCTCTTCTCCCCTCTCCTCCTGCCAGAGGTCAACCTCTGTTCCCAAAGTGCCAGGAAAGGCAATAGCTGACACAGCACAGCCCGGCTCTCTCCTGCGCTCCAGCCCCAAAGTGCTTAATGGGGCTGGGGTTGAGGTGCAGAGGGGTGGGATTCTCCTCCCTCCCTGCTTGGCCGGGTTGTCATTTCCACACCCACCGGATGGTATCTGCTGCTTCAGTCTTTCTG